TTTAGACCTTGCTTGGAGGCTGCAATGCAGTATAAACCAAGAAACCATATATGATAAGGCAACTTGGGCATCTTTAGGATAAAGATCTTATATACGCTCCAGTTGTTGCCAATAGTGGGTTGGCGCAAGGGTTTGAATCCAAATATATGATTGCATCACAGGGTTATAAACATCTTGGCCTTTGACCCCTCACATAAGAAAGAAACAAGGGCCATCAAGGGCTCCAATGACACTTGCTAAAGGTATGTCATATCAAATTAAGGATGTAGGCAGTTTCCCCTATACCACCAACCACCACCCCACACGCCTGGAAGCGATTCCTGGCACTACCAGGGGCGCCTGTCGTCTCCCTTTGTTTTCACGCGAAGGCTCAGTTGGGGTATAGCTGAGCCGGCACGCATTTGCGTGCGTGGCCAATGAACATGGACCGCGACACTCGCTTCAACATTCAAGTCAATTGGGCATTCAAAGTGATGTTGAAGATGGACTGCGGTTTCCGTCGATATCCTAAAGGTGGGTCGAAGCAACAAACATCCACCCTGACAGGTCCTTTCCATGCATGGGTACTTCTTGAATTCCAGGATGCCAAATGGTCTATGGGCCCAACATAGGCAGCCATTAGTGATATAGTGATCCAACTATATACAGAGGTCCACTTTGTTTATATACCGTATATGTCTGATTGACAAATCACCAGTGCCGTAGCGGATGTCGCATGATGTCACGGGTTCCAGTGCTACGGCCGCAAACTCGTGCCCCTGGCCTGCTTGTGCATGATGCGATTGCCATTGCTAATGGGTACTGTGAACAAATGTGGTTCATCCTGCATCGCATGAGATCTCAATGGGATCTGTTAGATTGAGCTATAGAACCAAATAGATTTGCTTGATTTTGTTACCAGATTTTTTTTGCATTCTTTGTCTTGTTATATGTTGACGGCCAGCTTTGTCAATGCAAGCTTGCACCTCAGCAACTCTCATTCGTGCAGCCGGTCCTCCGCAGACAGGGGATTGCTCAGAGGTGAAATCAGGGTTTGCTAGGCATGGCCAAAACCAAGGCCATGGCCATGTGTGTGCAAGTGCGGTCTCCGGCTTTGAGATCGCAGGATGGTGCTGCTAGCGAAGGCAGCTCTCCAAAAGGTTCCCCTAGAAGTGTGGTGGGGGACTATGGGCTTGAGAATGTCCCTGTTGAATGGGACAACCATCCAGCAATCCGAGAGCGCATCCGAGATGAGAAAAACCTTTGCCTTTCCTACGACTTTGAGAAGAGGGAAGCTGTTTCAAAGTATGTTGAACCCACCATTGAGAACCTCAAGATAAATGAGGCAGTGTTGATGCCATTGGCGAAGATCATGAGTCACCACGACCTTCAACTCCCAGCCATTGAGAAGCTCATCCATGCCGTGGCTGAGTTTTTTTCAATTGGCCAAGCTCTCCCGGACTTCAGACCAATGCTATCAAGAAGCATGGGCACTGCGGCGCATGATTGGGAAACTCAAGAGGTTTGCATACAGAAGCACAGCCCCACAGGACTTTTCATCACGAAAACAAACATCAAATCAATCCAGTCTACATGTTTGTTGGGTGGACTGTTTTCGGCAACTTTGCCAGAAACACCAACCTTGTTCAGTGATTCGTTTTTTGTTGTGGTGACAACCCCAAAATGATCCCAGGGATGTGTCAAAACACATTATGTCAAAACTTGAAAGAGGTGTTGAGCATATATAAGATTCATTCTGTCCACAAATGGCTCTTGTCTCCCCCCATGTCCTTCCAATGCGATGTCCTCCAGGATGAAAGCATCCAAAGCCTGGTGGAAGCGCTGGGATTCAATCTTCAGGAGGGTATGGGCGCGGCCTAGCTCTCCGCACCATGCAGTCCCAACTGTATTTGACCCAAGCTGCTATATATACATAGTCGGTGTGCGCAGGGGGGGTCAAATGATTGCCGCACAGGATGGTTGATATATGATGCATAAACTATAAACCCTCTCGAGTCTTCAAAAACAAATTTCTATGGCACACATTCAGGGCTTTGGATGTTGCTCTATATGGCATGAATAAGTCAAATATGGTCGAATCTAAATGGCATACACATGCATATGCGACTATATAGCCCTATATGAACGCGAATCCCCTTGAAGAGGTCTTCAAATTCCAATATCATGCACAAAATAGATGGTGATCAATGTCAACTGGAGTGAGCCATTTCTCACAAAAAACACGCCGCCGCGTGCCAAACCCTCCAGGACTGGCAACCTATATCAGGAGGACGCGATGTGGGCGACTCTTTGGGGGACGATTCTCAGGATCCTGAGCCTGAAGCACTAGCACCAGAAAATTCAGCAAATGGCTACAGCGACCTGTTCATGGATGATCCAATAGAGTTTGAACTCAACCAGATCGTCGATGATTTGGGGCAGAGTTTGCCGGAGGTTCCCGTGGCCGAGCCGCAGACTCTTGGCCAGAAAGCCGATGAGGTGGCTCAGAAACTTGATGAACCTGCGGCCCAAGTGCAGTCGGTGCAGCCTACCCCATGTCGGAGTGATACCCAGCCTCCCATCCTGTCAACCACTCCAACTGACATGCCTTTGAAGTCATTGGTTGCCCATGAGGACTCATTGTCGAAAATCCTCAGTCCCTCAAGTCTTTTTAGTTTTGAAGAAGGCACATAGGATGAATGAAGTCCTCTCCCCAGCCAAGCTTACAGCTTGCCTTCCAGGACTTGGGCGATGTTATGGACATTTCATCTGACGAGGAAGCACCGAACACTGCGCCACCCCAGCCAGTGAACTTCACAGTTGACATGATCGTGCAAGCTTTGCAAGATGTGCAAAAGTCACTTGGATGCAAGTTAGTTCAAACAAAGACTGCGTGGGCTTCTATATACGACAGACATGTCATACTTGTCTCAAAAACAGCTATAGACACCAGCATGCTTCCAAGGAAACGTTTTTTGTATATAAATAGAGAGTGAAGACCTGTTTGTATATAAGCATATATAGGATCAAGTATACTGGATTCATTCAAAACTTTGTGAATGGACCTTTGGAATAGTGTTCTTTCGAATACCTTGACATGTTAGAGCATTGTCCCTGCTTGCCGCCTCCCAGGTTGACCACGCTTCTGCCAAATGACCCTGTCGATGCCAAGCCTGCAGAGCTGGCTGATGCAGAGCCAGCTGCAAAGCTAGCAAGTTCCTTGTCTACAAAGACTCAAGACTAGAGGGCTGTTACATATATATATATATATATATACTTGATGAAGGTTTGAACAATGTTGTTTATATAGGCTCTCTTTCCCTGCAATCTTCTGCAGCATGAGTGCGATGAGGTTCAACTTCGGCAGTGGACCCCAACAAAACGATTCACATCTTGTCGGATTCTGTGATGCCCATGGCTTTGGACCATCACGAGACCCAACTGCCCGTTTCCCCTACTCAGCTCTTGAACACCGATGTGGCCATTGAAACCATCAAGAAGCTCGATGAACATGATCGCGAAGTGGAGCAACAGGTATCCCGGTGATCAAAACAACACATGACTTACAGTAAATTGCCCATGAGGCCATGGATTTCAATATTTTCCATGCACAACTAGATGTCTATATTGTTAAAGGGGCTTGATGCATACGTCGATCCGGATTCTCCTCCCCCCAAAGGTGAAGACGACTGGCATGAATGGTATTGAGATCCCAGACCATGAAGTCATCACAAGGAGAAAGCAGTTTCGCATCAAGAAAGAGAATGCAGAAAAGAAGAGAGACAGGAAAGCGGAGAAAAAAGATACAGCTAAGCAGAAGGAGGAAAACAAACAAGCGAAGAAAGCTGCCAAGGAAGCAGAGAAGGAAGCCAAGAAAGTTGCCAAGGCCAAAGAAAAGGAAGAGAAGAAAGCAGCCAAAGAAATGGCTAAAGCGGCTAAAGCTAAAGGTGAGAAGAAGACAGGTCGAAGCTCTCGCGCAAAAGCCAGCGAGCGGCTGAGGAAGAAGCCTGGCTGCAAAGCGCATCACAAGACATGGCAAAACGACCATGCTGAAGGAATGATTGAAGAGCCTTCCTCTGTCGAAGTTCGAACTGCAGAGGCTGCAGAGGGCATTCCTGCAGAGGTGGGCCCAGTCGAGGAACTCACAGAGATTTCACCGGTGAAGGGCAGAAGTATGAAGCGCTTGCGGCAGATGAACGCAGCAAGGAAAGCCCGCTGTAATGAGCCCAAAGAAGTGGAGACAATCGAAGAGGCTCAGTCTGAGTCCAAGTCAGAGGTCATGGCTGGAAAGGGGAGAGTGGAGGAGGAGGAGGAGGGTGCAGTTGAAGTTGACGGGAAGAAACCAAATGGAGACGTCCTTAAGAAGAAGAACAAGAGGAAAAAGGTCATGGAGACAAAAGGTGATGAAAGCATGCAGGAGGAAGAGCCAAATGATAGTCTTGCCAAAGGGAGAAAAAGGAAGCCAAAGTCGAAGAAGGACACCAAATCCACAGGAAAGAAGAAGTCCGTGAAGTCCAAGCCCAACACCAAGGGTGGTCATAAGGATGTGAAAGGAACGAAGGGGGGCTGCCTCACGAAAGAATCGGGGCAAAGGAAGGGCATCAAAAGACAAAAGCAAGAAAAAGGACAAAGTCTATGCAGTTGATGAGCCCAGCAAAGCATTGGTCCTTGAGGCTCTCCAGGAGTGCCAAAGTTCCAAGTGCACGCACCCATCCTTCCAGGTCCCATCGCCAAGTGGGGTGTCCTACAGCCCCTACTGGACTAGGAGCGCAGTGGGTGTAAAGGTGCCCAGGAGTTGGATGAAGAACCAGAAAGCCAAAGGCAAGGGAAAGGTTCAAATCGCATACTTCTCCACAGAATGCCCTTGTACCTACGCAGCTTATGTCGCAGCAGGTATCTTTGTTTCTTGGAATCGGTTCAGTGGTTTGAAACGGGAGAAAGGGTTGATTTCAATAACAAGGGCTTTAAGGCTGATGAATCTATAATACACCCTAAAAGGATTTGGCCACCTCCAATCATTGAGTCATGTTGTTGTATCATTCAGCCACTGAGCTATACTTATATTGTTTAGAACCCGTCCAACTTCTATAAACAAGTGGTGATTCAGAGTTGTATAGTCAGGAAATCAACATTAACCACTGCACAGCCTGTGCTCAGGTTGGTGAATTGGAGAAGGACCTCAAGCAGCCGAACTTCGATCCCTGCAGCGAGCGCCTGGTGGACTTCCAGAACGTTGTCAAGGCCTCATTGGCAGCGGCTGGGCGTGAATGGATGAGCGCTGAGCCCAAGCAAACAGTGTGATTTGCCAAAGGCAATATTCGCATTCGCATGTGTGAGCCATCATGGGCCATGAACAGGGGATTGCCAACAGCCCATGAGTGAATGCACTGGTGAACACTTATACGTCTTAAAACATCTTAAGATGCTCTGCATGACTTGTATTCCGTCGTTGCAGCATGGTTTCCACGCAGGCAATTGTTTCAGTGGATAGTGGTGGTTACTGCGTGGTGGCTCGCTCAATGTGATTTTGGGGGTTGACCATATGTTGACAGCGCCGCTTGCCCATAAATCCTCTCACTCAGCAGTGTGCAACAACTCAAGGCAGAACTCATGTATTTGTTTCGCCTGTAAAAGCAATTCCAAGTACAGTGAACATGTTCCGCGCAACGCACCTTTTCCACCATGTATCAACCACATGTTGTTTCCACCCATTGGTGAGGGGCCAGGGGAAGCGCAGCGTTGAGTGCATATGATAGAATTCTGCATTGGCAAATGGACCTGACATTGGTTCTGTGCCCGTTCTGAAATCTCAAATCTCTGGTGCCCATGAAGGATGTGGAAAATTCACCGATTGCTTTAGGGCATTGCAGCAAAGAAACATGTGCATGCATTAATTATATAGAGAAAAGCGATTGGAACAATAGAACATGTGAGAACAAGAGTTCCTTCCACCGCATCTGCAACCACCTTCTATACTTTATATACCCATGCAGTCACTTGCCCTTTTGCTCGATCCCCATGCAGTCACTTAGCCCATTTCCTCAATGGGCTCCCTGCACTGTATTGATCATACGATCCACGACTGGCCAGGTGTTTGCGATGCCTCGGATCTTGAGGAAAGTCAGGCGGATCACGAAGGGGGGATCGAAATGCCTTGAAACATGGAGCTACCCGACTTCGATCAGGTCCAGCGGACTCGCTTGTTGCAGTGCATGGGGTTGTACAGTTGAGGGAGCAGTTGAACTGCAACGCATGGGGG